CAAGGTAACGATTTTACAACCACCCGATAGTTCGAGTATCCCTTGCTAGAACCGCAACTATACCCTAGGTGCAAATGAGAACAGATGGACCCATAAATCACCCTTCTTTTGAGCTTTCGATCTCTCCTGGCCCAATATTGGGAAATTTTTGCAAGCTCTACTAGAAAGTTCGTAACAAGCAAATTATCAAAGTTTACCAATGAAATCTCATACATTTTATTGGAAACGCGATGTAAATAACACATCTTGGATATGTTTACCTCTTGGAACAAAACACAAAAACAGCAATAATCTTTTTCTTTTTATTATTACAGAAGACATGGATCGATTTGAACAAAGGCAAGTCCATAAGGCGTTCTCGAATAGAATTCTAGAAGCACTTGCGATGGACAATGGATGGACCGGATTCGTCGTATTCTTGCTTAGAGATCCACATCTGTTGGAAGGTAGACAGTGAAGCCAAGATAGAGCCTCCAATCCAGACAGAGTATTTGCGCTCAGGTGGGGCGATAATCTTGATTTTCATCGTGCTGAACGGGTATTTGTATACATCAACAAAAAGGTTCGAAGGGAAAAGCTCCCAAGACTAGTTCAGAGCTGATTCGAAAGAGCAACATACCTAGGTGCAAGAGCAGTGATTTCCTTCTGCATACGATCGGCGATTCCGGGGTACATGGTAGTTCCTCCAGAAAGGACAGTGTTGGCATATAAGTCCTTTCGGATATCGATATCACACTTCATAATCGAGTTATAGGAGGTTTCATGAATACCAGCAGATTCCATACCCAAGAATGAAGGCTAAAAAGAGACAAAATGAGATAATCATGAACAGATTGCTGGCAACAATGGGTACTTACCTGGAAAAGTGCCTCAGGACAACGGAAGCGCTCATTTCCGACAGTGATGACCTGTCCGTCAGGGAGTTCGTACGATTTCTCAAGGGATGAAGATGATGCAGCAGTGGCCATTTCTTGCTCGAAGTCAAGCGCAACATAGCAGAGTTTCTCCTAAAATGTCATTTATTAAAGGTGTCCAGATCAACTTGGAGTACTGGGATCTTGAGACAGTGTAAGAGCATGGTTCCTGACTAACGCAACAGTTCA